GGAACCAGGTTCATGTTCGAAGTCCAGCAAGTAAAGCCACATTGGGAAAACTGGATGAGTGAAGGCTGACTGAGGGTAGGATTCATAAATAATGTCAGGTAGAACTTAGGGGCTACTTGCAGGACTGTGGTGTTCTTAGAGTTGGATAGGGAGCCAACTCAGTCAAAGACCAAACGTGCCATAGTCTGACTTTTATTTTAAAATAATTCATATCTCTCCTGTGTGTAGGGATGACTAGATGAGAGCTTGAACAGCAGTCCATTGCAAGTAGCTCAGAGAAGAGAAGCAAAGCTGGGGTCATGGCCAACGTAATGACGGCAGTCAGGTGGATGGATAGACTTTTGGAAATGGAGCTCTGTGCATCTATTTTTGCAATGTGTTAGTTCAGCAAAACTAATGTTCTTCTGGCTCTAAGGAAGTACAGTTTCCTGGAAAATCTTTATTACCTAATTAAGCAGGGGAAAGACTTTCAAGTGGTCTCCGGAGTCCCTTCTCACTTTGCCATCCTCAGCCTGACTGGAATGCCAGGACTCAGCAACTCTGTGGGAGGACTAGGTAGACCCAAACAATGATTTCTTCTTCCATATTCATTTAGGAATGTTGTCCTTGGCACAGTGGATTTCCAGTAGCTAAAGGCTCATTTCCTTAGGTCAACATACCATCTGGCAGTTAACAAAGACTTTCCTGATCAACCTCAAGATACAGTAGGAGGTGCTTGGGAAGGTACAGCACAGAGCTATGGAAACCCAATAGAATACTGAATTCATGCTTAGTGTGGAGCTAGTGCTATTCAGTCCTGATTGCCTCAACTTTTAGATGAAAAGGTAACACTAAGTAGAAATAATAAACACAAGACTTACAGTTCTCCAGAAGATCATAGAGCCTTCTGTTCTACTACAGAAAGTAATATTGTTTGATAGTGGAAGCAGATAAATGTCCACATACCTTCAATGACATAATTGCTTTCTTCACTGACATCCTGTATTATATCTGAGGTTTCACTACTATTTCCTAATATTAATGTGTTGATAGCTTGAATCTCTGTTCTAATTTTAAATCCTTTAAGAGAAAGTACTACATAGTGGGATACCTTTGCTATTTTCACAAACTCTTTTGGCCTTACATTATTTTACACAGCTTAAACATCTTATATATACATCTTATGTATCTTATATAACTTATGCATCATTCCATTTTTCAAAGTCAAGTGAGACAATATGTTTTTGAGACTACTCTGAGACAATAAAACACAGAGATGCAAACACCATCACTGCAATCTCCTTGATCATGCCATAGACGTGAGAATTTTCCTTTTAAATGTTCATTTGTGCAGAATGGTGGAGACAGTGTGAGCTGGTTGAATATAGAGATGGTGCAGAGAGGAGCCACATACCATACTTAAAAGTCAGATAGAAGTGATACAAGGGCAGCCAAAACAACAACTGTGTGTCAACTACCGTGCTCATCACAACATGCATTTTCACTCTCTCAATGTCACAATTCCTAGGCATAGTGACAAACAGAAGCGTTTAGTATGTACAAGAATGTTGTAAAATGTTAAGTATGAAACACTTGCCCAATTTCATGAATTAAAATCAAGGTTTTAGATGTTAAGTAATCTGACTATAAGTAAAGATTTCCTGCTATTAAAAGTTATGTTCTTATACAACCACCACACAATGAATCTACGTCATGTCATAAGCATAAATAAACTTGAGTATAGCTGTGTGTGATGGATTTATACATGTCTGCAATTGTTTCAGGAAAACAGTTTTCCTGCAAGTTACCTGTGCCCTTGTAGTAGCATACTCAGGATATGTGCATTGTTCTGGTCTCTGTCGCCAGTTGTCACACAAATTATTTCATTATTGCCATAAGAAACATCCAAATATGGCATAGGATTTCTAATAGAACACAGAGAACCTCTTTCAAGCAGTGTAGTGATAGGAGTTTTTGATAGGTGCTTAACTTAAATATTGAAAATTGTAACCTTCCTGATTTAAGTTAACAATCTTAGTTACATTTAAAAGTGCTTCATGTACTATATTTTAGTTAAAATACAATACATTCATCATAAATATGATTCTAGTAATATATTTACATGTATATGCTAGTGACATAATTATAGGAATATAATTATTTGTATTGATTTTACTTTCTTTCCTATTGAATAAAATTCTTAATCTTTTGTTATTCTTTTTTATGTATAGAGTTTGGGCAATTGCTTGAAATAAACATAGATGACATAGAAAGGGCACATTGCAATATTTCAGAGTAAGAGCATACAATTACATTAATAAGTCTATGAATTCAAAGGAAAGAAAAATGCTATTAAGAAATAATACTTTTTGACTATGTAGCTCTTGAAAGTTCTGTAATAAAATGAATGCCTATAGTATAATTCAACATTTACACTACAGTGTAAAATTCAACATTTTAAAGTTGACAATAGATTAGGAAACCCTTGTTGAGTCTCTATCAGTGCTTCATCTGGATGTTGTTTGTGCATAAAATTTCTATCATACCAAAATTATATTGTTTAGACTCAGTTTTACAATACATTCTTAATAAAGTATTTTGGAACACAAAACCAACCTTAACTCACATAAACAAATGTGTGTAACTTCCTTGGGAAAGGTTTGTTGCTTAAATTGTTTTTGAGGGAAGTAATTGATTTTTCTTGGCAGATTTGGCAAAAATAACGAAGTCTTGATTGTCTTATCTGAAGGTCACGTCCTTCTCAGGAATCATCAGTGCGAAGCACAGATTCAGTGGAATTCAAGTTGTCCTGTGATTCTTTTACAATGTGGTTGTCAGATGCAAGTAAATGGTTTTACTAACATATATTACCCACAGTCATAAACTATAAGCCAACAATATACATCTATATGTGTACATAAGTATTTACATAAATATGTAATAAAAAAGTTAAGATATTTTCCCAGAAGAAGTAAATCAGTAGTAAGACAGGCATTAATAATATTTTCCTTGGGGGATGGAGAGAGTCGTGATCATTAGCTGCTCTTCCGGAAGACACAAGTTCAATTCCAAGTACCATAGGGAGGCTCATAACCATATGTAAATTCATTTCAGGAGCTCTGATGCCTGATTTTGGCCTCTCCAAGCAGTGTGTATGCATGTGGTGCACAGACATGCATCCAGGCCTGATATTCTTACATACAAAGTAAAATATAATAAAAAGAACATTTCCCCCTGACTTCCACTTCTTGGTATTTCCATCAAAATTCCTTCATTAATTCTTGATTTCTGAAAATTTGAATCTTGATTTAAAAGTTTACATTTTGCTATTTGACATGAATGAAAACAGAGTTGAAAGTAAAATAGAAATTCAAATAAGAGAATTGGGTGATTTCTCAATAGATTAGAATATGAGAAACGATCTGAAAGTTTAATGTATTGCTAATTCAAAATTATTTTTGCATATTAACTAGAAGAAATCCATAGGGAATTTTACCATAGGGCATTTGTTGGTAATGTGTGCATTATGATGAAAAATGTATCTATTTAGAAACTTTTCTGAGGGATGGGATGAAAGCTTAATAAGGTTGAAAGCATTATCTGTTTCCTTCCAGAGAGCCCAAGTTTGGTTCCCAGAATCCAGGTAGAGTGGCTTTTATCTGCCTGTAACTCTAGTGCTTGGGGATCCAATATCCTCTTTTCAACCTGTGTATCCACACTTGCCAACCTGGGTATCCACATTCATATGTGCACATCACTCCAGACACACACACACACACACACACACACACACACACACACACACACACTTACACATGTAATTAAAAATCAATCTTCAAAACCTTTTCACAATATATGTTGATTAAGTAGCTGATGTTATCATTATTATTAATTAAAGTCAGTACCATTGGAAAAATAATGAATTGAGAGATGTAGAAATGGTAAATCTGGATTCAGTAATTTTATAAAGTAGTCGTCTTTGAGACGCACAATACTCTTGCCAAACTTACAAAGCAAGTTCAAATATACTTACCCAGTGCTGAGCAGTGACAACCCTGAGAACGCTACCCAACGCTGGACTCATAAATAAATGATATTATTACATTAGGGATGTGTTGGGAGGCCCTGCTGTCCAGAGGCTGCAGTCTACCATAGCTTAGCAGCTCTCCCTGGGCATAATGTGGAGAACTCCTCACCTCAGCAGGGGTTTCCTGCTCTCTACCCAGCCTTATCTGGAGTTTGTCTCTAAGTCTGAATGCCTGACTTATCTCAAGGATGCCCCTTGACACATTTCCTTGCAAATGTTCTTCCCCTGCTGCCCACATGGTAATTAAGTAACATGTTCTAACTATTTTCATAGGGCCATGCTGCCACTGATCCAGCTCGGATAAGACAAGATAGGAGCATGCCAGCTAACACAAATTAGGGTCTGCCCCAACTACCACCCCAGTCCTATATATCCATATATCCACCACACTCAGGGATAAACTGAGCTGCCTCACTGAAGCTGTCTAATGGAAGGCTATGTCTGCTATGTTCACAGGCCATCCAAAGCTCTCTGTCATTGCTTCTACCCCTTTGTCCTTGCGGCCAAAAGATCTCGAGAAAAAAGGGGACCCCACAGCTGGTGCCCGAACAGGCCTGGTTTGTGAGGATCCAAAAAAGTGTTTTGAGGTACATCGATGGTTAGGTATAATGTAAAGGTATAATGATGGTTTAAGGTGTATAAAACATGTGACAGATTTCTTTACTCTTCTATGCTCTTGTTACACTAAGATTTCAGAACTTCAGAGTTTTAACATTAACCAATGGAGTTCTGACAAGCTATTAATGCAGCTCTGAAAACACTGACTACTTATTGTTTTGGCATAAGTTCAAGATTTTAAGTTTCCTTTGGTTATCCTCTAATATAGACTTAAAGATGCTTCTTATTGAACTAAAAAATCTTTGTCCAATCTATATCTGGCTCTCTAGACAGAGAAAAAAATGTTAATGCTTTAACTCGAAGTTAGAGATTTTACCAGGACTCAAAGGTGTGACTCCACTTCAGCTGTTTCACCTACTCCACAGTTCACCTGGAAGCGGCTACAGAAGAGAATCCAGTGCTCCTGCTCCCATGACAGCTCCTAAAAGAAGGCCAAGTCAAAAGAAAACTCCCTGACATAGGAGACAAAATGACCACCTATAACGCCAATTGATACACCAAAAATACGGGCTCAGATTTATCAACAGGTAGATCATTAATTAAAATGGTTCTATAATATGACAGAACACTTGGCCTCCTTTATCCAGAACAAAGAGAGATTGTCCATCAGAGGCCTTTGGGCCTTCTGCTTTCTGTTAATTACTATTCTCTCTTGCAACATTAATATAATCAGTAAATGACAATTTCTATTTAGATACTGTTAAGCTAACAGTTATGAGATCATAATGTAAACCAGTACCCAAGGATTTGATCCAAGATACAAGTTCAGTGGGGAATGTTAGATCTAAAGTAACATAAAGGCTCCATCTGCCCCAAGACCTGGTAATTTCCTGAGATTCTGGGAATTGTAGTTCTTAAAAAATAGTAACAAAGCTTCATAAGAAGGTACTGTAGCCTATGAGTTTTGCCCGTATAAGCCCCAACAATACGTGTCTTAAGGCCACACAGAGGATGGTGGTCTTGACAAAATTCCATCTTGGTCAACATTTAAAATTTTAATAAAAGCTAATTTTTAACTTTACCTTCTGTCCCTAATAAATGTCTGATTCAAACCTGGGACTAGGCTGAGGTGCCTATTTAACATATCAAAGCTGGACCTGGCTGTCAGGTTCTCCCAGCATCTCTCAGCCCTTACTTGTTACAGTGTATGGCTCACATACCCTGCCCTAAAATTATAAAAACAAAACAAAACAGAAAAACTCAAACTAACAAAAGTCCCACCTTTACTAGCTCCCAATGCACTGTCTTTCGTTCACAATGGGAGAGTGACCATCACATGGGGATTTCATACAATCCCCAGTGCCAAGAGATCATAGAAAAAAACATCAAACTCTAAAGCCTCAACTTAAAAACAAAAACCAAACACCTACACACAATTGACAATGCCTCTGGCCATCCTAAATATACTCAGTATCTACAAGAACTCCAAAGACTCTCTCATCTTGATATGATAGTGTTACCCCATAGTTGAAATATGGAAGAGACCTGACCCCCTCCTTACAATGGGAAGAAGTTTTTTGCTTGTGTTTTTTCCACAGAACCAACCGAGGCCTATTTGGGTCCCAGGCAGAAATGTCAGACATCAATCACCCCACCAACCAAAAAGATGGCCCTCCTCAAGGACAGAGGAGATAGAAGAAACGCCATGCTTTTCATAACAACAAAATCTCCTGGAAGGACATCCATGACCTAGTGGCCACTGTGCAAACCATATGCTCCCCCAAGCATCCCTCTCTGCTATTTTAATGACATTCTTTGTTACATTACAGGCCTATCCTGCCACTGTTCAATCCCCCAATTCCCAACCCGACACACACCACTGGTGGTTTTCCTTCCAGAAAACATAGGACAAAACCCCCAGAAGACTGGGTCCATAGACTGCCCCAACCAGTGATGCCAAAGCTCCATTTCTATTCCTGTCTATCCTAACTCTCTACCTCTGTACCTCCCAACCCCCTTCTCTGCTTCCCCTGTTGACAAAAGGATTACACAGGCGAAGCAGGCTGCCTCATGAATCAGGACCATTATGGCAGCTGCCATTACTAGTCCTACAAGACTAAACTCAGTTTCCACACACACACACACAAAAGTTTCAAAACCTGAATTACCATCTCACCATTATTATAGATGACCCCTGGGATAATTGATAAAGAACAGGAGTTGTGGGAAAACTATATCCCACCAGTTATGAGGCACATGCCTCTCCTGATATTCACAGTTCTCAACAGCTGGTGCAGGCCCCCCAGTCCATGCTAATCCATAAAAATATTCTCGAACAGGAGACACAGCTGAGAAGAAATGCTCAGTCAACCCTGGCTACAGTGCTTTCAATATGTTGCTGACTTTCTCCCTTTCACTAACTACCCACACTAATGCCTCTAACTGCTTCATTTGCATATCCAGCAACAGACCTCTGCTGACAGCTGTACCAGTCAACATCACTCTCCTTTTCCCCGGGACCACAAAAAGTTCACTGGTTCTTGCCTGTCAGATATTTGAGCAGCTGTCCAGCTCTCCAGTTTGCATTTCCAGTTGGGACAAGCCTACTCATTACCAATGTCTCACTAACATCCCTCCTTCCAGACTGACATGTGTTGCCCCTCCCCTTCTTCTTTGGTGTAAGAAGATAACCCCCCTGTATAGACAGCTCCCTGCCTGGGTTTTGCACCCTTGCTGTGATTGTCCCACAAGTCTATCTTTACAAGAAGAAGAGGTAGCACTACTGCTACAGACCAGACTAAGGTGAGATATTTCTCCCTTTACCCGTAGGAATAGGACTTGCCATCTCCCTTGGATCTGCTGGGGCTGCAATGGCTGCCATCATTCAGATGCATCATCTGGCAGAAACTTTAGAGACAAGTTTGATTAGGCCATGGCATCTATGGCTGAAAGATAGCTTTGAATCCCTCCAGTGGCAGATCAACTCTCTTGCCAGGGTTGTGCTCCAAAACAAAAAGAGCACTAGACCTACCTAATAACTGCTGAACGTGAGGGAACTTGCTTGATATTGGGGGAAAAATGTTGCTTCTGTGTAAACAAATCAAATGTTGTTAAAACCAATGTTAATGCCCTCAAAAAACTTCACAAAGACCTGCTCTTGAGATTTCAACCCAATTGCCCCTTGTTTTCCTGGCTTTTATTAGTCTTCTAATTATGCTGTTTTATTTTGATGCTTACCCCCTTCCTTATTCAGTTCCTCTGATGGCAGATTACCACCATTACTAAAAGCACTACCAATCTGATCATGGTTCACTACCAAATCCTGGACCCTTCCAAGATGCATGCAGATGACAGGTTCTTCAAGGTTTATGATGACACCTCTCCACTATAAAATAAAACAGGGGAAGATGTTGGGCGGTCCCATTGGTCAGAGGTTGCAGTCTACCATAACTAAGCAACTCTGCCTGGACTTGGTACAATATGGAGAGCTCTCTCCCCCTCAGCTAGGGCTTTCTGCTCTCTACCCAGCTTTATCTGAAGGATGTCTCTAGGTCTGAATGCTTGACTTATCTCAAGAATGACCCTTGACACAATTCCCTGCAAATGTTCTTCCCCTGCTGCCCACATAGTAATTAAGTAACATGCTCTAACTATTTTCACAGGGCCATGCTGCCACTGATCCAGCTAGGACAGGGTAAGATAGGAGCATGCCACCTAATGCAAATTAGGTTTGCCCCAGCTACCACCCCAGTCCTATATGTCCTCTATACTGTGGAATGAAGTTGAGTTGACTCACTGAAGCTGTCTCTAGGAAGGCTGTGTCCGCCATGATCACAGGCCATCCAGAGCTCTCTGACGTGGCTTCTGCTCCTTTATCCTTGTGGCCAACAGACTGCAAGGAAAAGGGGACCCCACAGGGACACAGAGGACATGCCTCGAAATTTTAAGAAAGCACACAGATTCTTTAAGAAGGATAATTCATGTGATGGCAAATAGCTATGATTTAGAAAGCTCTTGATAAAATAAAAATAAACAAAACCCAGCCCAAATCAAAACGCAAAATTTAACAGATCTAAATATAAATCTTGAAATTATGTGAAGAAATTGGGTGTAAAATTACATGAATCCAGAGCAGGAGAGATAGCTCAGTGATTAAGAGTTCCTGCTGCTCTTGTAGAAGACCTAATTTTGTTTCCCAGTACCCACATGGTGGCTTACAATCGTCTGTAACTTCAGTGCCTGCGGTTACAATGCCCTCTTCTGATCTCTGCTGGTACCAGGCATGATTGTGGTACACATGCAAATATGCAAGCAAACAAACACATAAAAGTAAAATAAGCTTAAATAAAAAATATTACATAAAGTCACATTAAGGTACTTTTTTGCTAAAAAAAAAAAAAGTAGAACTGAGTGAATGAGAACAACAAATTTTATTCAGTCAGAGTGCATTCTTGATCTGTGCAATGGGAAAACTATAGGAAATTCACACTACAATATTTAACACAACAAGCCTAGTTAAGTTGAGTAAAATTTTATTCTACATAGTGCTGGTCACATAGCAACTTGGACATTATATCTGATTGTGAACACTGTACTGAAAAGGCATATTCCCTAACTCAAGTCACTTAAGGAAGATCTCACCAGTTAGTGAGGCTGTGAACTAGTGCCGCTCTTATGGAAAACAATATGGAGATCCACAAAGAAAAGCTGAACTACTATATGATTCAAAAATCCCACTGCTATGCAAATGAAGTTTTGCAGCAAAGTAGACTGAACTGAAGATCATCATGTTAAGTGAAATACGCTAGGCCCAGAAAGACAAATACCACATGATCATATTGAGGTGGAATACGACAGGAGTGATCTCATACATACAAGTTTAAAGTGGGCTGGTGGCTATTAGAGGCTTCATGATTATGGAGAGTAAGCAAAGGAGAAAGGCTGATTAGTAAAAATTAAGCTATAGAGAATAGAAGCAAGCAATTTTACTGTGTTCATGGAAGATAAACACAGATAGCAATAAAACACTGAATGTATATATACATATATATATATATAATATATCTGAAACAACTATAGGAAAGGAATGATAAAAATTTGAGGAGATAAATGTGCTGACTTAAACATATGACATATAAATGCATTAAAACATCACTTGGTATCTAATGTATGTTTTATATTATCATGTATAATTTAAGATTAATTTATTTAAACAATAAAATAAAATCATACGAAAAGAAGATTGGATGCAATAGTGAGGGGTCTGGGCAGTGGGTCCCACTGTGACCTGTGGAGTGAAGCATTCAAAGGCTCCCCCTCTGGGGCAGGAGATAATGAGCTTGGAAGGCAGGCCACATCGCTGATGGCACTTGTCTGTGTTGGCTCTTTAATTTCTTGGACCATTACATGGGCCTCGTCTGTACAGTGAAAATGCAGGTGAATAAACCTTAAGTATCCTGTGATACCCAAAGGACACGACAC